GCGCTTAACCAACTAGACCACTGAACCGGCATCCAACGGTGTTGATGTCTAACTTGAACCATTCCACGGAATTGTGCTTCCGTTGGATGCCGGCTCAGTGGTCTAATGGTTAAGTGCTCGCGCGCGAAGCCAGTAGGCCCTGGGTTCGAATCCCGCGGGAGCGGGTTCGTGAATGCGCACTGCTGAGAAGTCCCATACTAGGACGAAACGGCCGTCCAGTGCTTCCAGGTTTTCAATGGTGGTCTAGCTTCAACTGACTCATGATTTCAACCTGTGAAATCACAAAATTGTTTGTAAATAGTTAGTAAGTTATGAAATCAAGAAGTTTATTTTGTCTTTTTCAGTATTCTCGGGGAATGATCTTCACTATCAACTTGATTTATTGAATGGTTTATAATTTTCTTCTAGAAGTTGAAGATTTTGAAACTTGAAGGAAGTTGTTAATAAAATGTGGTTATTCAAAAGTTGAGTAACACTGAGATTTTTCTAGGTTATGTAGTAAGGTTTGTATAGTCTCATCTACTTACAAATTAAGTTCAAGGAGCTTCACTTACAATCAAATTAATAAATATTCACACATATATCAATACACTTTATTAAATTCATACATGTAATTATTCATCCGTTTCCTTACCATTTATCACTCACTTAACAACAGTTAGTATTTTATTAATAGTATTGATATAAATTGAAGAAATTATACTTGGATTGATACTTCTATATGATAATATTACTTACTTGCACCTGTTACCCCTCATGGAGGAGAATAGGCTACTCACCAACACTCTACATCCAACTCTATCCTGGAAAATCCTTCCCAGTTTGTCTCAGTTGCTGTTCATCCTTTTCATGTCTGCTTCCAATTCTCGACGCAGTGTGTTATTTGGCCTCCCTCTCTTCCGTTTCCTTTCACGATTCCAGGTTAGCGATTGCTTCGTAATGCAGTTTAATGATTTCCTCAATCTATGTCCTATCCACTTCCAGTGGATTTACCTGATTTCCTCCTCAGCTAGGAGTTGGTTTGTTCTCTCCCACAGTAGGCTGTTGTTGATGATATCCAGTCAACGGACATTGAGTACCTTGCGTGGACGATTGTTTATAAATATTTGTACATTTTTGATGATTGTTGTGGTAGCTCTGCAAGTTTCAGCTCCGTACAGTAGGACTGTCTTGATGTTTGTATTGATGTAATAATATTACTACAGCTTAATTTTCAAGTTATTATTAGGCTAATGTATTTGTTATGGATTTACTGAAAGTTGAGTTAAACACATTTCAATGGTTAAGATCATGAGCCAGTTAAAGCTAGACCACCATGGAAAACCTGTAAGCACTGGACGGCCGTTTCGTTCTATTGTGGGACTCCTCAGCAGTGCGCATCCACGACCTCGCCCCCTGCAAGATATTAATCAACATATGCTCGCTAGTGACTGGCTTCACGAGGTATATCCTGGAGTTCTAGTGAGAAGTAGTGACCAGTGGAGTTCAACCGTGACAAGGATTATCAATAAGAATTAAAATATATATCATTCATTAATGAATGAGGTCAAAATTCTATTCGAAAATTTATTAAGATTTTTACACATGTAAAGCAAGAATTTGCAATGAATAATGATAATTAGATAATAATAGCTTATAACCAAAGTTTGAAAATACGGAACAAAGAATTCCGATAGCTCACTTCCAAAGGTAATGTATTCACAAACTACTTACTCTCACAATATTTATTCTAATGAAAATATTTTCTTACTGTAAAGACTATTGGACTTTCTAATAAGCAAGTTAATTAACTAGTTTTAGACAGTTCTATATTAATAATAACTGTTGTTTATATAGTCTCTTGAATGATGAATATTATCAAAGTTTTGCTTCACAAAAAGGAAATATAGTCAGGAGTTCCGATTATTTCACATCAAATCTTCAACGATTTACAAGTACATCACCTTTAAGACTTTTTAATTTTATTGTATTTTTAAAAACATCAAACGATAGCGGTAGCTGGGATCCATCAACATATTGACTGTTAGAATTCTGATTGAGTTTACTGATGGTGAAATAGTGTCATAGTGAAATAATGTCATGAAGTGAAGTAGTGTTTAACATGAAATCTAAATCCTAGAACAAATCTTAATGTTATATATAAAGAACTTTCATATTTCCTGTTTAATTCCCAACTCCTTATTTAAATTAAATGATTATATAGGTTCGGTATAAATATAGTACGACAATTACTTAGAATCAACGTTGAAAAACATTTCAGTTGTATATTGTATGATTTATAAACCACATTGTTTAGAGGCGAACAATAAGAATGATTCTAAGATCTTCGTATGCTAACTAGCACCAAATTAATGTTTTTAAATTTTCTTTCACTCATATCGAGGTACATACATCGCTAGATGGTGAGACTCCTGCCGCATTAAGAAATGCATTGGCCTATATAGTGATGGCTCCTTTCTACATAGAGGTGATAATGATAAATAATATTTTTACAGTTGAAATCACAAGTTTTAAACTAGACTACAATTGAAAGCCTGAAAGCACTGGACAGTTATCGCGTCCTAGTATGAAACGCCTTAGCAGTGCGCATCCACGACCTCCCATGCAGGGATCGAACCCAGGACATTCGGTCTTGCACGAAAACACTTAACCTGTTGACCATTAAGCTGACATTCGATGGTATTAATGTTTAACTTCAATCAATCCGTAATCTTGCATAACCGTTCACCCATTGTTCCAGGTGGATAACTGTCTCACACTCAACATAGATTAGATTCGACTGGTCGCGGATTCTCACTAGAACTCCTGAAATTGCATCGTGAAGCTAGTCACTAATGATTTTCTTTAGAAATATTCTACTTATAATCATGATACTCTCACAAATTCAAATCTCAGTAATCAGGTTTATTTAAGTAATAAGGAATCTTGGACTTTCAGCAGTAGTGAAGTATTTAAAAACACCATAGTATAATTTATTGCTTATCCCGTCGATAGCTAAAAATATCTATGTATTGCCATCAGAAAATTTATTTCAATATAATTTTCTGAGATTTTTGATATCCATCGAATAACACTTGTGAAGTAGAGAATGATGAAATTTTTCCTCATCTTAGTATTGTACTTTCAAGATCTCTTTTATTAATAAACCAGGTTTCTTACCATACATAATGAGTAAATCATCTTTTAAATCATATATTCTACTTTTAATGAATCCTATTTTCAACCGTATATCAATATGGTGTTGTATATTTTATCAAAAACATTATTTAAAAATGAGCTCTCAGATGATGGATTTCAATGTTAAATTCGGAAGAGTTTCATTAAAGCAAAAGTGATTTAAACAACACTGTAAAGGACTTTCAGTAGATTCTCAACCTATTATGACAACATACTGTAACAGAAACTTTGAACAATCTAAAAAAACAAATATCAAATTCATTTTTGATCTTAACTGGTTATTTTATGCTTAGTTTCTACGAAAAATAATTAACCAGTTTGCATTGATATATCAATTTACTTCTTTTAAATATATAAACCACGTGATTATTATATATGTAGAAGACAAACTTATTTCAAGTTAAATGACTCAGATATAAAGTGATAGAATTACTTATGTACATGTATTTGTAGGAAGAGAAGTACTAGTTAGTTAATTAAATCTTTTTTTTATTATTTTCTATTGTTATTATTCTTGGCTTGATATACATATATATTTTCTTAGCATCACTGGACAAACATTACAAACTCTCTTGTTTTATGATGTGTCTATTTTTGCATTCTACCCCCTTGTGTAAATTGAGACGATTGTTGATACTGCTGTTCATATACTATATTGTTTTAATGTTTAACTTGTCATCAGGTCGGGGTTTATTTTTACTATTGAAATTATTGTATTTGATGGTTACATTGATGGTGGTGGTGGTCGTCATAGTTGTAGGGTGGTCAAGTTGATGATCCTTAAAATAAAGAGTAAATAATTTTTTTAAAGTAGACACTATGGACAATAGTTTCCAGTCGTTCTCTCTCTCTACTCTCATACTCTCACGAATACAAATGTTATTTCACATACACACACAAGTACATATTATACATATCTCTATGTACAATTGTATACACGCGCAGAAAATGATATGAGCTCAAATTTATGATTAATATAATTGCCCAATGAGGTTAGTGATAGATTGGTTAGTTCAGATCATATATATATATTTTACTTAAATATGTCCTTATTTTACCGGTCATCAGTATTTACTTTTCTATGTATGTGTGTTTATTAACATGTTAGTATTATCCACATGCGGTATAAACATTGTTATTTTTAAAATTGACGTGTACAGTACTATAAATGATCAAGAAAACTTATCAGATATGGTGCTTTATCTACATTCAAATGTATGCTCACTACATACACCACCTTAGAACCGCAAATTATTTCATTTTCATTCTTTATATATAAGTAATCGTCCTCTTATTTGCATGTTTGTATGTAGATGCGTGTTTATGTGCATGTTTCTATGTTTCACTTAAATATTAAGTTCCCCCGTGTTTCAGTCTTTTTAAAGTTTATATTATATGTACATTCAATTTTAATTTTTTGGTCATTATGTCCATAGGTCATATAGAAATAATGTATGTGTGTGAAGAAGAATATGAGATACGTCACTATATATATATAAATAGATATATGTGAACCTTCTTATTGCCTTAGTCCATTTCAGTCAACCACACCACCACCAACCATATCTTACCAACAACCAATTCTTTCCAATACGATTATGGTTATTAATTTACTATTTGTCATAGTTCTCAGTTGTAATTTAATCTGAACACTGAAAGGACGATAAATTCATCTTATGTTCAAAAGGTGGATATAATATAAATTACTATCGTCAATGCTAATAGTAGTATTACAATCCGTGTAGTGAGTGGAATATATAAAAAAACAAGGATACGAAAAAACTCCGTTTATCTTTATAAAAATAACTGAGCAAAAAAAAATAATGAATATTACATTACTAATGAATGAAACAGACTCTGTCCAATGTCATTCGGTAAATGTCATCTCTGATAGTATAGATGATTATACAAATTTATCAAATGTACAGTATATACATAAACATAATACCAGTAATAATTCTAGTAATAATAATACTAGTAGCACAATTAATAATCACAATATGCTTATCACTAATCACAAAAGCAATTCAAACAGTAATACCAATGATCTATCAACTACAGATTGTACTAATTTAGCAGATAATTTGGTAAGTTAATTAACTGTTTAATATATAATGTATATTGTTAAACAATTATGTATGCCTAATCTTATAAAGATTAGTATTTGCTTACTAGTATATGTGGTAAATGTTGTGAAGCATCGTTCAAATAATAATAATGTATGGGATACCAGTAGGGTATACGTCGTGTTCAATCAAGATGTCAAATTATCTATTTAACTCGAAATGACATAATCTACTATTATATAAAATATTAATTCCAAAAATTCGTATGATTTTTTAATGTTTATTCTCGAATGAGTTAGAACTCATCTTTTAAATATGTTTACTTGTCTGCATACACTAATGTACTATAAGTTTTTAGCAACTTTAGGAGCATTATTTAACGCTCAATGGTTTCAAAATGTGCATATAAAAGTATACGTATTATATCACAAATGTAAAATGATTCGTGGCTAATATCAAGTAGACTGACAAAGGTAACGTATATCGAACAAAATTTTCAAAATTTCCTGACAGTAATTTTGATCTAGATAAGTCGATAGTAAGTGAATTCAAGGTTTATCTACCTATTTATATTGACCACAAAATATTTTTTACTCAGATAATATGTATAAACAAAAACGTAATTATAAGTCATTAGACAGTAATCCCAAGGTATCATCGTTTTCCTATCCCATCAAAAATGAAATAATTCCGAGGAATTAAGAAAGATTTATTGCTTTAGTTAGTGATTTACAAAATCGGTTAGATACGAAATATAAGTACTGGTAAAAAATAAATTTTGTAAGGGTTTTGAGATAATGAGTGTAGATTAACACGATGTCTGTTCATTAAATTATGTTTGACGTTATCAGAATGATTGAACATGAACTATTGTTGATCCTATAATAATATATAGTTAATTTAAACAAGTATATCTAATGCTGAACTTGACTGATTCGATTTATAGTTAAAGTTATTAAGCTTTGACTATTCAGTGGCACATTCAAATTCTACCTTATCTACTACAGTTTGAGTAACTGTCTATTCTCAATAATCCACATGTGTATTCAGTTGATATTTTTCAGAATTTTAGGGAACCTATACTTCTCGTCATTAAAGCTTCAGCCAGCATTAGAAGTAACTGATGTAGATTATTGTGATCTACTCTAAACTACTTGCATACAACCCACTTATTGAGTGATTATTTTCATCTGAAAACTATCAGTAGTTTTTTACGTAGTTATTGGTCACCAATCTAAAGTTAACTATCATGCCTCACAAAGTTATTTGCTGATATTTTTTTTCTGGTTTTGAATCACTGATTCCTAATGAAACTTAAAACTGGGAAAAACTAACTAGGCAATTAGTAATAAATATTCATTCGCATTTATTGTCTAATTGTCATGTGGGACACCTTAATCGATTGCCTTTTTATGTATAGAATTCTAGTTCAAACTGTACTTCACCGAATGGTTCAACACTTACCATGTATGGTACACAGCATCGTTTTAAAATCAGCCCAAATACATATCACGATCTGGAAAACGGAAACAGTTTGACTACTACAAGTATTGGTCCTCGTCCGGATACAGATCTAGATTCAGCATTCCCACCGAAAAAGCTATACACTGACGATATACCTGTTCTGTAAGTAACACTTTATCCATGGTCATGGATTTATTTCACATAAATTTGCTTGCGTTTGAATTATCTCCATTTTTGAGTGATATAAAGCTGAAATTTAACAATGTAATATTTTTAAATTAATATGTAAACAATAAACTAAGCTATACACAGGGAGATTATTTCAATGTCAATTTAGATCCTATCCGTCATCAATAAGACTCAACACATACTAGTCTTTTTGGCAAAAGTTCGGTTTTGATAAATCCATTGAAGTTGTGCATTTTGCTCTTTGTTGCATTAATAAATAAGACATGATAATTGACTTTCTTTATTTTAGATTTCGTGTCTGCTTGAGAACATATTATTTGAAGGTTAGATAATTGCATTAAGATTTAGAAAATGCAATTGATAACTTCATCATTTACATTTCGACAGTTAATACAAAAGAATAACAATAATCGATGAGTTGATAAATTGGATTCGAACTAATTCTTAGTTGAATATTCTTAATATTGTGTATATAAAGTATTTTACGTGGTACAGGTTAGGTGGATTGTAATAAGTAACAACTGTGATTTATTATCATCCTGGTCTTTCTGAAATATGTTTTAACAAATTCAGGACCCATAACTGTTCACATTGATTATCTTATGTAGAGTAACAAGTTGGATCAATATGCAAAATATAAATTATAATCTGAATTATCAAACTACAACAATATACCCAGTAGAAATGATAAGAATTTTATTTTTCCTACTGAAGTTGAACCTTTCTCTCTGACTTATGAAACAAGGGGAATTCGTATACTTGTGGGTAAATTATACATATATTTTAGTTGAACAAACCAAACATCAGAGAACATTATTCAGTGATAAAATTTATGTAGTTTCCATCTGTATCCGAATTTATTGTGATAAATTATTTGTAGCTAAATTCATGAGTCGATGTAATCTGAAGCACTATTGAAAACCTGGAAGCACTGAACGGCCGTTTCGTCCTAGTACTGGATTCCTCAATAGTACGCGTCCACGATCCCGCGCACGGGATTCGAACACAGAACCTCTGATCTCGCGTGCAAACGCTTAACCTCCAGACTACTGAGCCGGCATCCAACGGTGTTAATGTCTAACTTCCATCTTTAACACCTTAAAAGCTGCGGAAGTGAAACATCTTTTTCGGCTTCGATATTTTATTTACGTAGCCTAAAATCGATAAAACTAACTTGAGTTGCTATACTTAATACAGTATTCCTTCAATACATAGTCAACTTGATTAATTCATTGGGATATTTCCATCATTTACATTTTCATGGTGCCTTGTAGTCGAAGTAATATATCTTTTTTATGATGAATAAAATTGCAAACGTTTTGTAGAATCAATTCATTTTTGATTGATTGCTTCCTGATCATGTGAGGTTTTAAATTCCATTCATAACCACAGTTAAGTATCATTTAATTATATTACTTGCAAAATTTAATAATCTTTATCTATATCTTCTATACCAAGAAATGTTCATTGAAGCTTATTGAAATAATGATGGATATGGATGATAAGGTGAGACCGAAGATCCTGGGTTCGATTCCCGGATCGAGGTCATAGATGCGCAGCTCTGAGGAATCATAGGCCAGGTAGAAACGGCCATTCCGTGCTTCCAGGTTTCAAGTGGTGGTTTATGTGGATCAGTTCATGATTTAAATTGTTAAAAAACCTCCACTGTTTTAAAATAATAGCCACTAGCGAAGAGCTCTGAGATAGTAAATCTTAAGATTTAGCTGTCTCCTTACTTGTTAACCACGTGTTCATGATAATTTGTGTTAAGAATGACTCAGTTTGTAAAGCGATATCTTGAATGACAACTTTTGCAGTGTACAGTATCTCTCTTAAACATCATTCACATATCATTTTTTAATCGATGCTCTTGTTTAGCAAAATGTTTAGTCTGGAAATTCACATCATAGCCAGAAGATTTAGAACGGAAATCTACACCAAATAATCGAAAAAAGTTTGGATTTTCTGATGCTTTATTTACTAAGTCATAATATCAATAACAATAGTTACCCAATTGTTTATGCAAACTAGTTTTTAGAATGATTCGACTTGTTTTGTGTATAAAACTTAACAATTATAATCACAATATGAAGGAGAATATAACATGATGGGAATATCTACTATATACTACATGTTTCTAAGGTACTGGAAATCCTAAACATTTAGCCATGCTTGTTTAAATGTGCTACTCACAGTAGCCAGATATATTTATTATCTCTGTTAAAATTTTGGGCATAGTTTTGTACTTTAGTTTTGACTTACTTGATTTACTCGTTTCTTTTACGCTAAATACATTTTATTAATTTTCTACTACTACTTCTATCATTTCGTTTACTGTTTTACGTCTAATTTACTTAATTTCTTCATATTATGGTCATGTAAATTTTGAGAGCTTCAACCAATGGATACTTGAGACGGGTTTCAAGTTATTTATGGTTGACTAATTATTTGAATTACTTGGAACGATGTACTTTTTCACATGAGTAATAAATCACTCAATTAGTAAACTCTTTAAATTTTAACATATGCATCAAACGTTTCCTCCACACAAGATTTTGGTGTTAAATAAAATAATCTTTGTATAGATTACACAAACATCATTTAGGGTTTATCGATTTTGCTTCCTGCAGTGAATGAGTATATTTATGATTTTCAAAGCTGTAGAGTACAATGTACAGTAATACATACGTTATCTAAATCGTACTTAATCAGGTGTCAACTAGTGTCTTCACACATTAGATTTGCTAAGAACCTTATAAATGCAAAGTACTTTTGAAAAACTGGCAGAAACTGATGCTTGCATACACTCTTTGTGTTGAACCGTTGGTAAAAGGTGTGTTCTAATGAAAATTAGCCAATTTTTGTTTCACCATAGTCTTAACACCGCTTATAATTTAACACGTTGTTATAATCATTCATCTAACTTTTCTTCACTTTCCGTATACTCACCAAGTGAGAATTTCTGTTTTTATTTCTTTATAGGTTATTATTTCTTATTACTTCTAGGGCTACCACGTAACTTACATCAGATACTCTTTTTTATTTATTTTTTGATAGCTTTATTAAATAACACAATAATCCTCTATTTCATCATTGATCTGTATGTGTAAAAGTTAACTAAAAATACGAATAATGTAAATTATATTGTCGATAAGAAGATTCATCTTCATTTTAGTCTAACGACATCAATAGTTTTTTTTAGTTGTTTGGGAATGTAGCTTGTTCATTCTTTTACTAATTGAGGCACCTTCCCCTTCTTTGTTTCTTTACAATATCTTTACTTCTTCTGTATGGTGAATTATTTTTTGGAGCTCTATAGTACCAGAATTTATGTGCTTTAAATGAACGAAACAATATCAATGCAGCAAAAGATTTGTTGCCTATGTGTTTGAAAATGTTTATTGAGAGCGAACGACCTTAATAATGTAAGCATAATGGATAACAGTTAGTTTCTGAGCCCTCATTTAAAAAATCAAAAGACTAATCAGGTTACTAAGATAAGTTAACTGTGATATCTGAGATATATACATTATATTCTAAGCCAGTATCTATTTTTTTATCTGAACCCTAGTTAAAGTAGAAAATCCATAAGAATTACTGAACCGAATAATTCTATTAAATAGTTCATTTATTCCCTATTGGATTAAATTGTATACGGTACTGTTTCTTAAATTTTATGTCACTAATACACCAGTTAATTTAACCAGTAGATTTGAAATTTATGATAAAAACTTAAACATTACTATATCAGATTATGTTGTTTTGCCTAGTTAATCATTGAAAAGTAAAAAGGTATTCTTCATATCTTTTTCATATAGTAAAACAAACAATTTTATATTCATTTTACATAATAGGTAGCTTCTGTAAATTACTGTATCTAACTTAATCATATATATATATACTTTAAATGTTTGGTACATACGTCTATAAATATCAAATGATATACAAATTTGGGGCGTGGTACTCTTATTTGTAGTAAGCTATATAAACAAAACAAGAAAGACTCAGTGAAAGACCACAGTCATAGTAATAATAAACTGATAAAAATGAAATTTAATTCACTGAATTAACTAAGAGATTAATAACAATAACTCAGACGATAAAGTGTTGATTTACTAATAGTGTTGACGGCAATATTGATAATGAAATAATAGTTGGAAGTGATTCATCTTAGTTGTTTTGATTCTTCATATACTATAAACTTTCCAGTTGTGAATGCAAAAATTTTTTTTTGATATTTGTGTATACATGGGTTACTTGTGTGTGTATTATTGTTTTTTTTACACTTATGTGCTTGTCAGTAAACAGCAATGATGTATAGAATGGAATATTCTTACCAGAATTTTTTTTGTCAAAAATTGACTAAACAAAATGTTAGACTTATCAAAAGATTTAGGAGTTACGTAGAAAATTAATATTTCGTTTTGTTTCTAATTTAGTTATCGCTAGAAAAAATGAGTAACACTTAATCACATATTAGTAATCAGAGTAAAGCTGTTCGCATTTAGTCTATGTAAATGACATTTGTAAAGATATATTCTTGATCTTTGTTAGATTAACAATAACTTGATAGAATAAATAAAACTAAACAATGAATAAGATCAAGGTGAACTCAGTAGATGATGATTAATCATTTTAATTTCTTGTTACGAAAGTGTTACTTACTACTATTAGTAGCACAATTCTAATAGTTACAAAATTCTGTATCAATTTCACTCAAAGGTAAAATGAAATAATTTTTGAAATTTTTTTTCGTGAAATAAATGAACGTTTAATCATGAGAATCATCACTTCAGCTTGTAGAGTGAAATATACTCCAACTGTTAATTTTAAAATTTGTAGTGTTGTTGTTTAAGCTAATGAATCATTGAAAACCAGGAGAGATTCCAATGATAATCAAGGATTCTGCTCTAACAGTAAAATGTATTACCTAGGAATTCAAGGACTTCTACTGTAAGACTCGAAGCCATAATGTTACTGCTATTTTATTCTCTCATATTTTCAGTAATTCATTAAACGAAAGCAGTTGAGAATAATAATCGTTTATAGATTAAGAATAAATTATCTGAATGGTACTTTGCTTACTTTGTTCATTTTCTGTATTATTTGATGATATTCGATATATTTTATCATTCTAACGTTCATATAACATTCATTTTATTAAACTATAGAGAATCATTTCCTGGTTTTTACGGTTTCGATCTTTATCGACCATTATGTGGTGATACTTATGAAGCAAGTGAAACAAAACCGAGTACTGCATTTTTTGTAAGTAAACTGTATATCTAACCAATTAAAGCTTTATAAATCATTTACTTATTATTTCATTGTTTTAGGATGCACTTTTGGATTACACAGGCTTCTTACATGAATCATTTAAGCTGTTATACTCACTTGTGATAAGAAGTATATTCGCTGTAGAAGTATGTTAACTGGATAATTTAGTAATCAAGTATTCATTTTGGCACTATGCACGACGAGTAAAAACGTATAAACACACAATTTAGCTAGAACTGTTTTAATGTTACTGTTTGACAAATGTTTTGAATATTATCTTATGTATGGAGTTGTTTTCAGACTCTGATAATGCCCAGAGTTGGAGCTGTTACTTTTTACTACTGATAACAAGACGTTTTCTAAATAATTGAAAACATTGGCTAGCTAGCCTGGGGAAAATGTTTGTATTTATTATTGTACTGTCCTCACTTCAGTGATAAATAAACTATCCTAAATCTCATTCTTCTTTATATTTACTATTGGACTGTAGTATTTTAAAGATGAACAAGGATGGACAAATTTGTATGCGAAGAAAACACCTACATGGTGGACATTATCCTATTGGTGTCAACGTAAACCCCCAGAAGGTTCATTCATTCGTTTAACACCAGTTTATGGGGCATCAGACAAACAACAGGAAGTAATCCAGAGGTATGTTTCTTAACTTTCATTAGTGAAAACAAGAATCATTGTAATTTTTGTGAACTTATTCTAATATTGATGACTGTTTCATTTTAATTGTTACTGAGACGTGGTTTTAATTTGTTACACTAAGAACCAGATTCGCTGATATTCATAACGAACAAATTCTCTGTGTTTATTGGCTCCCAGTTATAATTTTAATTTCTCTGAGCTAGTTGGTTGATTTGTAAAGTTAAGGAATTATGTTATGATGTTTCTTATTAAGTTGGGAATCTTTGACTTGATATTTTTTAGTAAAAGTTAATCCAATAAAGTGCTGTTTCCATTTTAGTCTAGGTAAACTGGTCTTCTATTCCTTACAATATCTGACAAATATATAACAAATACATTTTCTCTCTCACAAATTAGCTTATTTAAATAGATTACTAAAAATTATATTTCAGTAGTGTGTACATGTGTATAGATAGTTACATGTACACTAATGTCAAAGGAAGAATGTAATAAATAAGTAATACTGTTTTGTTCACAAATTAAGATAGTTTAGGTGTGTAAAATATTGAATCCCGACTCATCTAATGATATCGGGTCTGCCGAGAATTCTAAACTTCCTGGGTTTAATCTCAGATGGGTTTGTAGGTTGACACACTCATGTGGAGTTCAACACTTGATCAGGAGAGATACCGAGTTCTTTCTGGTTGTCAACGTCACTTTGACATCATTTCATAGTAAAAATTTACCTTAAAAATAAATATAAATCACTGACAATCACTATTAAAAAGCCTTGTACTCCAGAATTCTAAATTCAAACCAAATTTTGTTTTTGTTCCTTATAAAAGCGTAAGTTTTCTTTCGTTCTATATCCATTTTTGTGGAAAATTTCCCTAATATTATCGGTTATTTTTCTATCCATTCGGAACATTTGACTATTCTTCTAATAAAATTCACTTCTACAGTTTTCTAAGTCTATAATTTTTGAGAGGAAGAAAAATAAAGGCAGAAAATTTGTTCTTTTCTATCCATTACCTACTTTGTCATAAATATTCACTTCTATCCATAAATATATTCATAACAGACAAATGATTCCCCCTTCCAAATAAACTCTATAATAGTATCGTATCGTTTTTATTTGTCTGATAAGCAAATAATTTTAAAGTAAGGATAATTTTCTATGGTTTGTTTGTAATTCAGTCAAGAATCAGGAAATAAATAGAATAGCATCAGCTATTGAATTTCCAATACTTTAAAAGAATATGGGTCAGTAAAGTCAAGTGTTAATTTTTAGTAATGACTAAAAATAAAGTCTAAAACGGACATTTCGTCACATACGACACCCGCCAATCGATTGTATCTAAAAATTAATGCTATTGTTTTCGTTGAGAATCGAACTCAGTGTTTTCTACCAGCTAAAAAATATAATAAATATCAGTTATTGTTGAGTAGTTCCAAAATATCGTTCCCCATAATATCCAAACGGTTCAATTTTGATCTTGTTAAAGGTTATCATCAAGTATATAGATGGATTGCAAAGAAAGATGTGATAACTGCCTACTCATCATTTCTCAAACCAACAAGAAAACATTCTTCAATTAATTTCATTTCAACACATTCCTTGTACTATGAAATATTTGAATATTCATAGACATTTTATTCAGATTGTATATTTAAAAAGTTGTTAGAATCTATAAGAAATTAATGTTGAATATATAGTTTTTATCCATAATGTGTAAATAAATTCTTCTCATATCACTTCTTTTATTATTTCTCTATTCAGATGTTTTGAAGATTTTATGGCGATTCCAACTACTGGAATGGGTCGTTACAGTATAGTAATGGTTGGTAATTCATTAGCTGAATACTTTTTTGATCCAATAACAGAACGATTATGCGTTACTTTACCATATGAAACACCTAAAGGTAATTAGTAGTTTAAAAAAACCTTTCCACTTCTATCATTCATACTCATTTGATTTTTCGTGTAAAAATAATAAAAGTATTGTGAAATAGTGCATCTTCTAAAAGATTCATTTTCTTGTTCAAATTCTAGTCAAATTAATTGAGATTGTGTCAGAATTTAAATGTATTGTGTTTTTATATTTTTTACTTCACTTGTCATCTTTACTTAAACATGTATATTCTTACTTAATAACTCAAATAGTGTAACTGAATTTGTTGTATGATAAAATTAAAATTGTTAAATGAAGCCAATAGCTGTAATTGTAGCGATTACACTAGATTAAAAAACCAATTGATTATCACCCTCTATATTGTATACTCTTTTTTTAACTACAGAAGGATGTGAATATAGTCAGTTCAATGGAAAATTTATGTGTTTCAATAGTTGTCTATATAATGGTGGTCAAGGGAACAAGAAACCACTCTTCTTAATCATAACTTTAGAACGTTTAATAACTGGGTAAGTGTATATTAATTTATTGAAATATAACAATTATCAAAGTGCTTATCTTTAGAATCAGCTAATGAGTTATATTTATCACTTTAGTGATTTTAATAATCTGTTCACTTCAAACATTTTAATACAACTCTTGTTTTAGTACTATAAACTGATGATCTAAAATTTAACAAATAGGGATTTGTGTATATTAAGTATATAAATGCTTTACAGATGTATTGATCTTATCAAGTTTGATAAAGTAAAAATGGGTTTAATAAGAGAAAACAAAGAACGTTCAACACTTCCTGATTTTCGGTGATTCCATAAATGATACTATTTGTGATCTCTATTTTTTGTTATTAATAAATAGTTAGTGTAATGTATTGTACATTCAATGGATTTTAATATATGTATATCACTCTGGATGTGTTTTTGATGCAATATTGAATGCAAATATAAATGAACTAGATAAGAAGTTTAATTATCAGCTATAACGAAAGTGAATAAATCTATGACCAGTAAACCTAATGTTCTTTTATTCTTCAATATATAGAAAGATATCATTTATACTAAATAAATATAAAGACGTTTTCGTATTTATTGAAAAAAAAATCTATCTCCACATCTACAGTGAATTGAAAAAAAATTGATGAAGACAATAACAATAGAATAGATGATAATAGTTTTGGTTTGTCAATTTTACATTGACATGCTTCAGCATGTTTTAAAATCTTTTATTAGAAAAAAACTACCATATACGTTTGAAGTAAAAGTGTGTCTATATTTTTGCTTTTCTGAATGTGGATATATATACCCCCTGGAAGCGAGAGAGGTGACGATATGTACATTTGTAAGGTAGTGAGAGGGGTGTTACATACTCTTAGTTATATACTGTACAAACTGAAAAAAGCTACATTAAGTATATTATGTACTTATGCTGTATTGAAATTATTTAGTAACTAAGGTCATTTCAGAATCATATACAAATTTATCATTTTATATACTATTCATGGGTATACGTATTTATTTATTTCCATCTTAAATCTCATTTTGTCCTATGTCCAAAACGATTAGACCATGTAGTGACCAGACGTGACCTGAACTAACTTATAGGTTAGTGAAATCGCTAACAAATATAGTAAAAATAACAATAACAACAATCATAAAGATATAATACTATTCATATAAGAATTTAGTTTGAATAATAAAAGAAAGATATAGAGATAGAGAAAGTGATGAAAAAGTCAATTTGTCTGGTCACGGGGGTATTCGTTAAAAAAAACTAGAGTCACAATCATAAGTCTTTAATAGCAGAATAGATTAGTTTACGTTGTCTACAGATTAAAAAAGTAAATAAATTTATAGAATAAAACAAAAGAACCTAGACATGACATACTTTGAGAAAGTTTATTCGTGCGGGTGAATGAATCAGATGTTGAGTAGTCGTTTGAATGTTGATGCATTTAAACAGAAATAACATTTATTAACTGAACAAAATCATCAGTTAATAAAACTAAATAACATTGGTTTCATGCAAGTGTAAAGCGATAAGACTATCATACATGATAACCTGTAATGTTTAAAAGGTTTACAAAAAATCTAATGTCATAGACCATTTTTAATCGACATAATTACTGTGAAAACTTTACAAACAAGTTCACTTCAAAAGCAGAAGTCTAGTAGACTTTGCTATATTTTAAAAATTATCAAGTAATTAAAAAAGATAATCAAACCCTTAGGAATCGATGCAATCCTCAAAATTATCTAGTCTATTCTAACCAAGTCTAATAAGTTATGGAGTTCACTTTCCTTCTCGTTTAAACAAGTGAGTATAATCTCAGAAGCGAGATAAACTATTTGTTGATGACACCTGATATTAGTTGTCTATAGGTTTACAAGTTAGTCAACATCGATCGTGATCAGCGATTAGATTAAACAAAGCAATTTAAGTGTGCACTATAGTCATCTTAATAACAAGTTTATTTTGTGTTAAAAATCTCATAACCGTATTATGTTTGGATATTCCTGTCATAATAACTGGAAAATACAATTTAATTCTTATTAGAAATTACTGAAAACAAGTAGTATGTTTCTTGATTTTAAGTTAGTGTGTCGGTCGTAATCATCAATTAATTTTTAAAAGTAAACCTACTGAGAGAAGCCTACCTTCAAGCATTCCAGTAGCGCTTACATTATACATACAGTCACAAGTGTGCGGTACTCTTAAATAAATAATTAGATTAGCTTTATATTAGTGGCTTCAGACCAAAGTATATATTGTGTAAATAGACTTTTTGAATAAACTACCATGGAAATAGTGAGGTAAATTTCGAAAATTTTTTTGTTGAAAGTTAAAAACATAAACTGAGTGCGATTATCAAACATATCAAGAAAATTGGAAATGATTGTTGAAATTATTATTACCACGTTGCCTGTTGAATAGTTAGAGGAAACATTAACATATAAAATATATAAAATCGAAAGGTTGATAGACCTTTTTTATCAGAAAGTTACTGTCAGCCTGCTAGTTTCCGTGAACATGAGGTTCGAATAGTGATACATACGCTTCTTATATGCACGTTCAAACCAGCTATTTGAGTGAGAAAACGAAAAGTGACTGGTGAGCTTTTATTGGCTGAGCAAATCGGAAATATATGAACAGCTCACTCATAAATATAGATACCTGTCCCACAGAAAATTAAGCTATGTTTTCTATCAGTAGGATACGTCTATTTCGTCAGAAAGTTAAGTCGATAGTTACAGTTAAACCTATAGTGTATATACGTCATCATCTCTCGCTTCTCATCTAATCTATGCATGATCATCCTAGAGTGTAACTATTCTTCTCCTACTTCTTGTAAGCACAAACATTTCAATGAAAACATTTCTTGTTTCTTTTTGATAAAACAGGTCTGATCCAAGTAAGGGACATTGTGAAGTACTTGGACGTCAGTGCATCAAATTTCGTAGTTGCGCATGTCCTAAACGAGATAAAGAGAATAACGAAAGACGTACTGGAGATTCCTTAGTAATTGGTACTCCTTCATTAGGTAAACGCAGGAAGGAATCAAGTAAGTGAATTTGTTTAGTCTCAATTTTTATAGATTAGTTTATACTACTGAGAAATAAAAACAGTATTATCATTTGAAGTAACTATTAAACCATTACAAATTACCAATTAAACATACGCATGAAAAGTGAAGTTAACCTTTCGGAACACTAACAGTTATAGCCATTTATAATTTTCATACAATAAACATCTAGGTGGATTCTCATAAGGAAATGTAGAAGATATCAGTTTGATAGTGAAATATCAACGTCGAATTGAGCGATTCTTTGTTGGTTAGTTAATCAAGATTCGTAAGTACTGTGGGTCAGGAGCTAATGAAAATTTGCATCATAATTCGTAGCCGTACAAATCATTTACTTTACTGTTTAACCGGTGCTAAGGATATAACAAATTTTGAGTATAATCACTATTTTAAAAAGTTATTTTTTTAGTAGTTAATTAACTTTAGTTATCAATAAAACACACTACTTCTTATCGTTTGTGTTTGGACCAAATCTTTCCTAAACATTTGAATTCCCAAACTGTTTGTTTATTGAAACATATATGAACTTAAATTTGCATTGATTGTCATAGCCAGCTTGAACTTGAAATACTAATCAATCAAAAATTAAGTTTAAAGGATACAACTCTACTTAAGTATTCCATTATTGGTTTGTTCTTAGTTATTCCAAGTGAAACTTTCGTAATAATGTGTCAAAAAATTATTACCTTAATCAACTGAGTTATTTCCGTATGGTTTGATTGATCACAATAAATATAGCTTTTTACTGTAGACAGAAGGTAGCCACATTAGATATTTTCGGAATTTCCTGCAACAAACTGTATAGATTCCTGTGGTTGTTTGCCAGTAAATCAAATTAACTAACAACATAACATAACAAAATTACAGTGATGTTTGTTAGTACTTTTTCATAATACCTAATGATAGAAACAGATAACATCCTTCAAAAGTTATTTCGAGCTATTCCCTTTATTTCCAGATGATCGTAATGATCGACAAGTCAAACGGATACGTTCAAATCAAAGACCATCATCAGTATGTAATATAAATAATATAACTAATGCCAACATTCAAAATAATAATGGGGTAAATTATGAAAAAGATACCAATCTGTTACGTGAACATAACTGGTTATCACCAAATAATGAATATTTAATAAATGATGAGAAGTGTCCAAGTGAACCGAATGGATTTGACGACATATTTGACTATTATGGACAAGAAAATGATTATGATGGTTATGGACAGAATACAATTCACTTCAATGGAGAATCATACAATCTCTTATTAGTTCCGACAAATTTACCTGGGGCTGTCGAAACATTATCGAGTGTACGTTATGGTTTGTTACGTGCATGGATATATGCACTAGCTAAACATCATTATCATCATCATAATCAACAATATCACATGATAATGAAACAATCACCCTTAACAAATGATTTAAACAACAGAAAAGAAACCAAAAGTGACACTAACATTAATAATCATACCTCATCATTAAACATTACAAATAACGTGAATACTAATATGATGGTAGGTAAAAATACTACAGAAAAACGATCAGATACTTCAGAGAGTCGATACTACCCTACAGTATCTGGAAATTATTCACACTCGTATAATCGTGCCGTAATTGGAAGCACTCTGAATCATTGGCTTAAAACGGAGTCACACCTAGCTGCTCTAGTGTAAGTTATATATATATATAACATTATTATTCTGTATGTATAGAAAGAGTGTTAATGTTCCGCTCTAAAATTGAATTGATGAATATAAACGAAAGTCAAAATATCGGCAAGTAAATAGAATTAGTGAATAAGTAGACAGGTATTATATTGATGGATGTCTATGAAGGTTGATCATGGTCTTTTAACCTGTCACAACTAGGCAGATTTGAATTTTTTGGACAGAGCAGTGTGTAAAACCTACCATAATATTAGCGATAAGTGTTCTTAAGTGAAATTTTCCAATGTTTAAACAAATCTGCCTTCATATTTAAAATTACGAAAACACAAAGATATTATCTGAGGCCAGAGAATATTTCGGCCGAAAGGTATGTTAACAGACACAAACATATCTATAGTTCAATCAACTCAAACAGCTGTAAGAAATAAATTTTTGACACAGATCCTGATCAATAAAACAAAAAGACAAGAAATAGTGATGAATTTCCCAGAGGTTTTGCAAAGCCTAGTTAGAGCAGCAGTTATCCTTCGAAACAGTGTTTTCGGTGTAAATTACGTAGGATCAATATTCATGAAGGCGTCTCTGAAAATACACTTAGTTTGGAAAAAAAGTTTTAATCATTGACTGAAAAACCGTTTTGTTTTCAACAACGCAAGTGGTGTAAACACAAATCTTGCGTAAACATCTAAAAGATAATATAACACTGTTTCTTTGTAATACTTAGCTTTTATGTGAGTGAGTTTGTCGTTCATTTAGTTAGTAACAAGCAAAGAAGGATCTGACACGAATATACATCGGTCCAAGTTCCTATCCCACATCTGCACGTTGAGATGATGTTGACAGAACTAACACAAAGAGATTAGTGAAAGAAAAGTTAGCTATAGTAGAAAATGAAATATTGACTACTATTGGAAGTTTAAATTTTTCCGAAAAACTCAGTCTTAATAATAGACACAGAGATTAAAAATGTAATATAAAACACAAAATTAACTAGACAGTTTGATGTCTAATTATTAAGCTTAAATTGTATCCAAAACAATTGATTGTGTCTTGTCATTTTTATATACTCATCGGGATATATTTTAAGTATGCACAATATAGATTTCAGTGACTAATTGTATATCATTAGACTAAAGTTGAAATGAATTGTACCGAACCAAATATAGGACCACAGGATTGCTTTTAGTAATGATAGTGATGGATGATTTTCATCTTTGAAATAAGAACAAAACAATACATCCATAGTAAGTAAACAATTTCAATGTTAAAAATGAATAGAGAATAACCTAACAAACATAAGCAAATGTTTGCAATACAGACAGTATGTATATAGGTAGTATAATAAACATTAGTGTTGGTTTTGCTAGTAATATTATTAGCGATGGTATGAATCATACATGATCTAAATGTTAATGCTTAATGAATGTAGTTTCGGTAAACTAAGACATTTCTGTGACCTCAAATTAACAAGACTTTTCATACTTCACCTTTGTAGTCAATGTAATTAAGCTTGTCATGTGCACTCAGATATCCACGTATATACTGAGCATATAAATATATATATATATGATAGCAAATCGACCGGACTGTTAAACTCAATGAGCTTAAATATAAGTAACATGGTTGGTGTTATAAGTGACCTGAATCTGTAAGTAATGCATCCGCTAAACGAATTCTTGTAAACGGTTATCTCATTATGAAATGAAACATTTATTTGTGGTTTCATCCAATTATTTTAGTTTGAGGGTACTATTAGATAAATTTGTAATCATGTGATAGAGTCGTGGTACAGGTTAGAAAAATATTACGTTATTGAATGATTCAAAGTTTCTTAACAATGTAACGGTTATTAGCGACGTAATATTCTTATCTTTTTCATTTCAATTGCTTCGATAAATCACAATTTACAGTTGCACAGCAGTACTACTTTGGTGTAAACTCAACGTTATGCTAGTGTTCAACCTGTTAGAAAGCAATGACTATTGAAAGCCTTTTCTATTTTCAACTAAAAAAAGAGTCTTTGAAATATTATATAAACTGTTAAATCAGTCAAATATGTACATTTCTACTAAACTTCAGAAAGTAACAGGAATTATTTTGGTTGACATCCGAAATATATTTTAAGAGGGAAATAAAAATATGAAAGAACTCATAAGAATGATTTTTGTTTTTAAAATAATAAGTCACTTTGACTCTTGTTTTTTTTGTTTATTACAGACGTGAAAGGATTAATTTATTGAACATGTATCAACAAACTTATCACTTTAGCGGTGATTCTACTGATTCACAGCCGAATTCTACGTTATCTACTGGTGCTATGGGATTTAACGGTACAGGAAATCTAGATGAACCAGTTAATATATTAAATCAAGACTACTTTAATTCATCTAATATGAATGGATCAGTAGGTAGTGAATTAATGAATTCAAATTTACCACGTAATTTGTCTAATCATCAAACAAATATAATGCAAAATATGGCTGCGTATATTTTATCATCTACTAGTACAAATACTACTACGTCTACTACTACAACTGCTACGTCTATAAATAATATCGGTAATCGTGGGTTCATTTATAATACACCAAATGCTGTTGATACAAATTGGTCATATGAAACAGATTCTGATTTAAGAACTGGTCAAACATCTCATACGGATCAGTTATACGAATCAACTCACCACGGATTGATCATAGGCAATAACAATAATAGTAGTACTCTACATGTTGTATCAGAATTAATTGATCCTTATGCACTAGTTCAACACTTACCTCAGTCACTTTCATCATCCTCACCAGTTCATCAACATCATCACATTCATTCACACCATATACATTCTGCACATGTCCAATCACAGCATAATCATCAAATTCATCTTCATCAAGGTATGAATAATTCGACTTCTATATCTGATACAAATGATAATCATTCATCAGCATTTACAACAACTGCATTAATTTCTGATAATACAATGAACAATAAATCATTAACGCTTAATACATGTCTCCTTCCTCAAATAACACCAACGACAACAGTAACAGATACAGGAACAATAGGGACAACAAATTTTGGTCATGATTTTAATACATCAAATTTTTATACTACAGCCTACTTTAATCTTACTAATTCCAATGCTAATGCTGATAATAATAGTAATGGAAGTAATAATAATGTTATAGACTGTACTAATGCTAATCAATCAAATGATATGACAAATCAAAATTCCACTTTAATTGACTCATTATCACGACCTAGTATATCATCGAATTTAACTCATCGAAGTATGTCACAAAATTCCACATTATGTAACTATCAGTTAACGAATCATACCAATTTATCTGAATCACTTTTATTATCAGAAGAATTGTTACATAATTGTCTGGACAATAAAAAGAAATGTTATGATGAACCAGATGGTGTTCATTCTATACTAACTAAGCATTTAGTGAGTTGATGAAGTTTTTATATGAATGTTTAAATCATGTGTGTATCCAGTCGATAATAACAAAACTGGATAGAGATTTGGTTACATTTTTGTGAAATAATCGTAATAGGATTAAATGAACTGGCTTTCAGACGGTCGGTGATTCAATGAATCTCATCGTTAGTTGTATAACTTAAAACAAATATCGTTAACTCCCACAGTTGAAAAAAATATTTCTTATATTAATCATGAATAGATCTTGTATGTAAGACTTGACGAATATAAAGCGTAAATATAAAACCAATTACAGGCTGCTTACAAACAGCATCAAGACTAAACGGCATCAGATGGATTGGTATTTGATGTATCGAAGGTAAAATTATTTGTTATCTTAATCGAACCTTGTATCGTAAATAAGTGGTCTCTCAAGCGTAATAAACTAGTTTGTATACAGTATTATTTCCCTATAACTGATTTAAACTACATAGATTCCATTGGAGACGTTTGTTAGATCAATCAAGTTCATAATCGAGATGTTAAGGTAGTCAAAAGGAAACCCTGAAATTAGACTTCTTCCTAGTTGACTTTCATAAACAATAGCCACCCTGTAATCCTGAGGAAGGTGGTGTTTCTTGTGAGATTCGAATCCACATCGTGGAGCATTACAGCTTAAGAAGTTACCACTGATATACTGTAGTCGTGACTGAGATATTAACAGTTGATTCCTCATTATTTAATGACCGAACAGTATATACAATAGCAATTTTTCCTTAAATACTGTGTTATGAGTTATGAATTAAATTGATAAGAAGATAAACAGGTAATGAGCCTAGATTTTTTTCTTCATGGTATTTATCAAATGAAATTTAACTTAAGTTGCTTATTGAGTAAGTCATAATAACTTCTCCAGAAATCCTCCTAGCCCTAACATTCATTTAGAATTCTAAATGTACTAGTAACAGATCTTAAACTGTAAAATAACTATTCGGAAGAAGTTGAAGGAAAAATTCAAGCGTTTATCATCCGCCTTGTTAACACTCTGAAATCTAATATTATTTGATTATAGTAAGAAAACCAATCTCTCATTTAAGTTTTTTCGACTTTCATTGTTTAATAGATGCTATTATGTAACTAATTTTTTAAATCTTCTATTAACTACTATTGAGAATTTCGGTATTTATCACAGGAACAATGTATGTTATTATTACGTATATAACCATTGGAAGTTCTCGTTTATATGTTAACATTACGGTTATGAATATGAAATCTCTAAGAAATGAAGCATTAATAAAACACAAATCTTCTTCCTTTTTTTCAGAGAAATACATCATTTTGTTTATCATCTACACGATCCCCTGAGTCATGTGGAGCTGAAAAATTTGTTAAATTAGAAATCTAGAGAGAGAAAAAAGTTTTCAAATGAAATAATACTGACATATATTGGTTACTTTACTATTCATTCAAATTATCATATAAAGTCAATATAAACTTTAATTCAGTCTAATCAAACGATTTGATATTTATCCAGTCATTATTTACTTGGTCTAATCATGTCAATGAGACTGTTCTTTTTTTCTTTCCAAAAAAAAACAAAAAAAACAAAACAATAAAGATCTACAAATTATTTCCATCTATTCAATCTTTTATATACCACAAGTTTTCATTTATTCTATTCAAGCATATGTATGCACATGCATTTGTAAAATTAAAAATGAAATACTTAAAGTAACATGTAACTAACACTACTTGTCTTCATTACATATTATACATATATCAATTTCAATATCATTGTTTACTATCATCATATTGTACAAGAATATGTACATTATAAGCATTAAAGTATAAACCAGTTATTTGGTTTGTTTTTATCTTTTTTTATTATCTGTAATTTCTTTTTGGTATTTTATTGGCTGTCGCATTTATTGTACGCCTTGTGTCATTATCATTATTATCATTATCACATGAACTTTTTTAGGATTTCTAATGGAATTCAGTTTCTTTTTTCAACTTTACTGTCATTTAAACAACAACAACAAGAACATCTAAGCATTCATCTATTCTTTTTTTATTATTAATGCTTTTAGAAACATTCCAAAATGAATACATTGAAGTAATGGCATTCTATTGTTCATTTTCTTAAACTCATTCAATTTTTTTTAGTACTAATACGACTATTATTATTATTATCATCATTGCTTTTTATCGATACACTTAAACATAAAATTTTGATTTCTTTTTCGCATTATTTTCTGTTTTTTTTTATACATAAAAATTTTGTTTCCTATTTTCTTGGCTTTATCAAAAAACAAAATACATACATGTATAACATACATATATTATGTTGTTCCGATTAGTGGTTAATCTGTAAAATTAGTGTAATGGTCAAGAGGTTTTATGTTTCTCTTAGGCATCTGTTTTGTCTTTATGTTCGACTTTTTATCACGTGATTTATCAGCCAATCGAAACATGACATATACAATCTTAGTACTGTGCCAAGCCGATGACGTTCGAGCGGTATGAGCAGCCTAGCGTCCTTGTTGGTCCAATGTTCGCCTAGCCCGTCCATTTGAGTCCAGAACACCAATACGAGCTTCGACTATGCGAATCATATATTTCAAACATACTGGGTTTATATATCAAACAAAGAGACCGCAACGTACCATAAAATAGGAAATAACATTTGTACACAATAAAGCTAAAAAGTGGCTGTGAACGTGGGAGGCAGTATTCAATTAACTGAACATAGCTTAAGAACAGTAAATCGTACAATAATAATATATAGGTCAAAATAAAGCTTACAACAAGGGGAATATAGATATACATAATCTAGTTGCTGAATATTTATACCATAAGAATATATAAATAATATGAGTCCATTAATAGGTCTCAGACGTTACTTGTAATATAATCTTCACTGGGATATAACAGTATCTTTACGTAATGGGCTAGAAAAATGTGTGAGACTATAATTTATGGACGACCTTTGGTCGATGCTGAAGTGACCTTGAGAGTATCTACTTACTTATTAGGGCTAAATGAGGGTTATAAAGCAGTTTAAAGAATAAGGATTATGATTTACAGTTGATAGTTAGGGTTAGGAATTAGATTTGAAGCTTTTCATCACGAACTGACACCAGATATAATGCCAAGACTCTATTTAGCCAAATAGATAAATGAATTTCGCGGCAAAATCTAAGACCTGCTATCGAAAATCTGATTGGTTCATTCATAAATTATAGTCTCGCTGAAAAAAATGTTTATCAGGACTGCGGAAATCAAAGGCAAACTGTGGTTAGGAATATGATTCTATTTACTGACGTTAATTAATCTGAATATACTGAAAAATTAAAGGGTAGCTTAATATTAAAAGAGGTGTGAACCACGCTTCTCCTATTTCACTATGGGTGACATATTAATATCACCAAATGCTGCAGAAAATAGTGAAGCCCATTTGTGAATACATGAGTTGGTAACTTGTTACCGAATCAACCTTAATTATAACCAACCTGATGAGAAAATTTAATATGCTACCATTAAAACAACGGTACAATCGACGGAAAGACCTGATAGTCAGTTATTAGCCTCTTCATTTGCATTATACTGATTATTGGAAAATATAGTATTGTATATTGCATGTAGTACTTCTTTACGAATCCGAAACGTTGCTTAAACCATGTTTGTCTTATAAATAGCCACAAATTGTTGAACATTAATTCAAAAAGTATTAAATAAAAATGTTTTGTGAGTATAGGGTTGTGAAGATTATTGAGTTTTTTTTTGTTTTGAGAAACACATAAGAAATAACTTGAAGGCAATTTGGATGTGCTATAGGTGTGCTATAACCTTTATTGACCAAAGAGCGAAATATTATTATTTCAGTTATTCAACTGAACTCAATAAAATGTAAACTTAATGTTAATTTACTGATATTCCTTAAACATGATTGTTACTTCAAGTCACTTTAACGTTTGTTAAATAACTAAACTCCCCAAAGGCTTTAGGTTTGGAGCATAAATAGCCTGTTTGTCTAAAGAGTCAGATTTGTATAAAATGACTATGTGGCACTTTTACTGTGTCAGTGTGGTATTTATATGAACTAATGATTCCTTTGTATTTGATGACTGCTTGATTTCGAATTCTAAATACAATACGTTTATTTGTGCTCACCTAGTTTGTAGTGTCAGTTATTATGCCAAGCCCATATACCTTATTCGAGCTTTCGGACATCCCATTCTATTCATTTTACTTGAGCCATACATTGACCTTGTTATTTATTCGCTCATCAGTCTTGACTGTTTTTATATGAGCGTATATGTGTGTGCCCTTCTTATTCCATTAATCACATGTCTGTAGCTTTATTTTGTCTGACTATAAATATTGAGTAACGCTTGACAAAGATGGAGTTGGCTTCCCAGCCATCTTCCATACGTGTCATTTTTGCTTTGCTGTGCTTCATTCGCTTCATGTACGAAATATATGTATTCTCAAGTCAATTCTCGTTATTCGACTTATTTAATTCCGTTATTGGATAACGCGATTTAAGTCGACGATGATATACGAGAATAAGCGATAGCAAACATCCATACGCTCTAAATGGAGTCAGATCAAACGGGCCACAAAATTGGTGAATAAAAGAGTAGAGCAAAATGACACGTATGGAAGATGGCTGGGAAGCCAACTCCATCTTTGTCAAGCGTTACTCAATATTTATAGTCAGACAAAATAAAGCTACAGACATGTGATTAATGGAATAAGAAGGGCACACACATATACGCTCATATAAAAACAGTCAAGACTGATAAGCGAATAATTGACAAGGTCAAAATATGACTCAAGTAGAACGAATAAAATGGGATGTCCAAAAGCTCGAATAAGGTATATGGGCTTGGCATAATAACTGACACTACAAGTTCTTTGTGGCCTGAATCGCATTATTTCGGGAATTCCTAGTTCATACAATGATTCAAATACTCTTAGTCATCACATTGGTATCGCTAGCAGGATTTGATGCAGTCGACATATCTCCCACATAATTCCATTAGAAATACATTAATCATGAGAACAACGCGTATCTGGTAAAATAATATCATGAATCCGACCAGAGTATGATTCATCTGAAACATTCGACTTAATAGGATCAGAATTACAAAGTTGAGCATTACTTGCAGCAAAATGGACAGTAGTATTTCAAACTAACTGAATGTGTCCAATCTTTCCATATTTAAAGCACTTAGAATTGTGAAAGACATATGAATTAAATGAGTGAAACATGCCACAGGACAAACATTTACCAAACTTGTGCCCATCTTCGTGACCTGCATCGCGACTCCTCAATGAATTGTTATCTGAATAATCTTGAGCACTCATTGGATTGGGATAACATAGTAATGTAGTGGGATTTCCGATGTCCTGATGAATCATTTAATGAATTTTTCCCCCTTTATAGCATTCGGAATTCCTATGCTTTACATGGTCTAGTATTAGTTCCTTGAGAGTTGCATAAGGAAGCGAAATAGGCTTTTCTGGAAATATCAGTCTTTATTAAGCTGTATGCTTTTTTTCCGATAAATGTAAGTTAATGAGCCATACTATTAACATCCTCAACATCTTCCTCGGTCATAGTCTAGATTCCGAACCATTCCATATAATCCTCAAAAGCATCAAAATCTGAATGTATGTTCAACCGTTCCATCACAGTCAACCAACAGCGAATTTATAGTAACTCCAGGAGTATATAAAATTCTGTTCGACTGATGTTCAGTGGTTGGTGTGACAAATACCTCACAGGTGTTACTCGTGGCCTATCTTTGACACCATATGTGAGAACTACTGTACTGTCAAATGATCGCAAGCTGCATCATATGCTCAGATACTATTTACTCCAAGATTAGTTCCTCAAGTGGTTAGCGTCACGGTTTTGAGTGCATAGGTCGACTAGTAGTAGAGGCTTGATGGCAAATGTCTTAGTGCAAATGTATATTCTAAGCCGTGACACCACGTTTACACAAATTAATTGTGGTGTAGAGGTTTAATGGCTTTTTGAAGTCCACAATGGAAATGTATATTAAATGGACTGACCAAGGTAAAAGATATATAAAAATATACAACCAAATGAATCCGAGGCAGAAAATGAAAGTTTAACCCTAAATAAATCGTCGAAAATAATATGAGAATGAATAATTTACAACTACGTAAGACTACACGTGAACACATTGAGTCTGAGTGTAGAGAAAGTTCAAGTAATTCATAAATTTATATGCAAGAAATGTCACTTCCAAGATATGTACATTTAAATGTTTTGGCAATATACTAACTAGGAGAAAAGGGATACAGTAACTGTTATTACAAACTAGTGACCTGGCAACTAAGTAGCAATGAAAAGGGGAATGACGAAAGGCA